TTCGTCCACGACGTCTATTCGGACACTATTTGAGGCCACGGCCTCTTGCGCCCTGCCCAAAAGGGCACGGGCACACCTGTGTGCCCGACTCTGGCACCCTCGCCTCGCCTCGCCTCGTCCTCCCCCGTCCGTCCAAGCTAGTTCTGGGCGCGGTGCAATGCGCGCGTTCCAGTTATGTAGTCATCGGCCTCGGTACAGACGTCGTCACCGTCATCATCAGTAGCATTAACATCAGCAGCAGCATCGGCACCACCATCGCCATCACCGCCACCATCATCAGCATCAGCATTATCAACATCAGCATCATCACCAGCACCTGCATCAGCATCAACGGCAGCATCAGCATCGTCATCATCAACATCAGCATCACCAACAACACCATCAGCAGCAGCAGCTTTACCACTACCCGAACCATCAGCAGCAGCAGCAGCGTCAGCATCAGCATCATCATCCTCAGCATCCTCATCGGCAGCACCATCATCATCACCAACATCATCGTCATCGTCGTCACCATCGTCGCCGTCAGCATCAGCATCAGCAGTGGCAGCATCATCGTCAGCATCGTCATCACGATCATCATCAGCATCACCAGCATACGCATGGCCAGGTTTACCGTCGTCATCGTCAGTGACATAGTCATCACCATTACCAGCACCATCATCATCGTCATCAGCGTACTCAGCATGATCCTCGTTATCACCCGCAGCATCTTCGTCATCACCATTATTCTTGAACGTTTCGCAGTATCAGTATCATGTTCAGCATAATCATCAGCAGCAACAGCATCCGTGTTTCGAGAAATATGCGCGGGGCTCTCGGTGGTCTCGCTTCCCCAGCTCCATTAGATCGGAGGTTGGGGGTGAGATCGCAATGGAACGGAGACTTCCAACCTGGAAATCGTTTCGTTTCGTTCGTATCGCGCTCGCGGGCGAGGCGAAGCTGCGCGGGCGCGCGAGAGGAACGAATACGCCGTTGCTAGGGCGAAGTCAAGACAAATGATTATCCTCCGCCCGCCCGTCCGGCGGTGGCTCGCGGTGTCCCGCGGTGTCCCGTGGTGTCCCGTGGTGTCACGTGGTGTCCGCCGCTACCAGGGCGAAGTCCAGACAAGTGGATTTCCCCCGCCCGCCCGTCCGTCCGTCCGTCCGGCCGTGGCTCGCGGTGTCCCGCGGTGTCCCGTGGTGTCTTGTGGTGTCCCGTTAAGTGATATCGATAGTGAGATCGATGATGAGATCGGTGTGGTGTCCCGAGGTGCCCCGTGGTGTCTTATGGTGTCCCGTTGAGTGAGATCGATAGTGAGATCGATCGTGAGACCGATAGTGAGATCGAGAGGTGTCCCGCGGTGTCCCGTGGTGCCCCGAGGTGTCCCGTGGTGTCCCGCGATGTCCCAAAAAGTGAGATCGATAGTGGTATCGGTAGTAAGATCGACAATTGTCCCGTGGTGTCCCGTGGTGTCCCGTTGAGTGAGATCGATAGTGAGATCGATTGAATCAGATGTTGGTTCCCCCCGTCCCCCCCAGAACGTCATTATCACCCGAAGGGTGGTCGTGTAGGTATGGAGGTTGTCGTGCACCTTCCCTCCGCATTCGATTATTATGTCCATATCGTCCCGTCCCCATCTACCCCCCAGTTTCGATCCCATGTTACCCTTCTCGATCCGCAACCTCAAGCCTCACTCTCGCCTTTTCCGCCCGCTCCAACCTTACCCTCGCGGAGTGAATGTGGGCAGGCGGGGGCAGAGCATGTAGATGAGGAGGTGGGTGGTGGAAACCGAGAAAAAAAGGAAAAGAGGATAGGATCAGGCACCAGCCCATTCAGAACCGTTGCCGATGCGAGTCGACGGGGGACGGGGGAAAAGACGCATATAGCGAAACGAAGTTGGCAACCATGGTGACTTGCGGATGCGGAGGAGGTGGGGGGAGGAGGAGCATATGGACGACGATGGGAGGACGAGGAGGGGGAGGATGATAAGACGGAAGAAGAGGAAGAGGAGGACATGGACGAGGAGGACGACGAGTGCAAGGACAAGGAGGAGGACGAGGACGAGGACGAAAAAGACGAAATGCAGGCGGAGAGGAGGGGGAGAGGACGAGAAGGACGAGGACGAGGACGAAGACTCTGGCAGCCATCTGGGGGTCTTCTTGAGGCCTTCTTGGGATCCTCTAATGGCTCTCTCGAGGCCCTCTTGGGATTCTCTTGAGGGGTCTTGGGTTCCTATTGGGGGCTCTGTTGGGGGTCTCGAGGCCCTATTGGGGCAGTCTTGGGGCCCGCTTGGGAGCCACGGAGGACCTCTTGGGGCCATCTTGGAGGCCATCGATCAAAAAGACGGGAACCGCTTCGCCCCCCCTTTCTGGGACCCTAGAAGTCATCTCTTGGGGCCCTCTTAGGATTTTGGGGCGCTCTCGGGCGCTCTTGGTGCCGTCTGGAGGGCCGCTTGGGCCCCTCTTGGGCCTCTCGTGGGCCATCTGAGACCCATCTTGAGCCTTCCAGAACGCATCGGAGGTCAAAAGGCGAGAAGGCAAAACTCAGTGATGTTGCTGAGGTGCTTGGGGCTGCCGAGGGGGCTTCGAGAGCATTAGGAGCAGTCTTGTGTGTGGCTCTCGTCGGGCCAGAAGCTATCTTGCACCATCGTCGGCTATCTTGAGCCGCGTTGGAGGCCATCTTGGAGCACCGGAAGCGCTCTTGGAGCCTTCTTGGACGCTCCAACCCCTCGGGCCCCCTCCAAAATAATTTCAGGGAGGGGAGGGCACACCTCCCCGGGAGGGGAAGGCTACCCCTCCCCGAAGAGAAGAAGGCTTTGGAAGAGGAGCAAAAAAACACATCTTTTGACCACCTACGCCCAGACGGCCGCCGGCAGAACCTACACCCCCTCTCGAGTCCCTCTCCCTCCCCGCCGCGTCTTTCCTGCACATCCCTTCCGCGCCTCCTTCCCCAACTGTCCCCCCACCCCCCCAGCCCAAGCCCCTCCCTCCGCCCCCGCCCCTTCCCCCCCCTGTGCCCCTCCCCTTCCCCTCCTCCCCCCGTGCCCCTTCCTCGTGGCCCTCCCCCGCCCCGCCCACCGCCACTCCCGCCACTTGCCCCTCCCAGCGGTGGCTCTCCGCGCGGCCCCCCGCCGCGGCGCCGCAGCAGGTGTGCCTGCTGGTGGCGGACCGCACGATGTCCACGCTCGAGAGCGCCGCCAGGCACCCTCCCCCTCGGCGCCCCCCACCCCCGCCCCGCGCGAGGCCGAGCGCCGTCCCGCCATGGGCCTCGGCCGCACCAAGGAGCCTCACGTCGGGCGGCTGCTGCGGGCACCCTCGGCATTGGGGCAACGGGGGGGGGGGTCCTTCTGGATGAGGTACGGTCGGCCCGTAGCGGAAGGATGCGCGGTGAGGATGCAAGGGCCTCTGGAGGCCCACGTGGACGCTTGCTCGAGCGAGGCTGGCCAGCGAAAGTCGCTAAAGCTGGGCCGAAGGGAACAAGGCGGCAAGGGTACCCTTGGGAAGGTTGCCCATCCTTGGTCCGCAGGCTGAGTGTATGAATCGAGGGAGGGGGAGGGGGAGCCGGATGGACCCTCCGGGGCGGGGCGTACCCGTCCCGAGCCGAGGTTCGAGGTCTCTGGTCGTGCTCGCCGGTTCTCCGCGGCCTTCTGGCCTCGGGGTGCCGTCCAGCGGCTGCGCCGCGCCGAGGGCGTGCCGGGGATGCCCGGATCGTCCCGAAGGCCGTTGGCGAGCCGAGTGGTGACCTGACGACCATCCAGCAGGGGATCGTCTGCAAAATTGATTGGTTCCCCGAGTCCATGCAATATGCGTGGGAGGCTCGTAGATCTAGAAACATTCTACGCGTGACTCGACGAGAGGATCAATTCGGGGGTAAGTCGGTTCTGTAGGCGATCCCCCACTCGAAGCCAGCAGGCGCCAGGGCCAACGATAGGGAAGGGAAGGCTCAGGGAGGGACGCGTCGGCCCCCCGATCGCCGGCTCGTCGCCGACAGGGGCCCGATAGCCACAGCCCGCCCAGGGAGGTGCGGACTCGGATGCGACCCTCAGGGGCCCTCCTCCTCCTCCTCCTCCTCCTCCTCCTCCTCCTCCTCCTCCTCCTCCTCCTCCTCCCCCTCCTCCTCCCCCTCCTCCTCCTCGGGTCGCCTACGGTGCAGGTCCCCCCTGGCGTCCCCGTATTCGGCCACCCGTGCAGTCCGGGAAGCCATGGCGAGGCAAAAACGGCAGAGGATGGCAGAAGCGGGGCCCGAAGCGGAGTTGAAAAGAGAAGGGCAAGAAACGGACGGCGCGGAGGGGGCTGCCTTCTCAGGGGGCGGGGGGGGGGTTCTTGGAAGATGGGGGGAGCCTGAATGGCCTCCCCGATTCTTTCAGGGCCCAGACCCCCTCGCGATGTGAAAAAGTCACGAGGGCAGGTGTCTTGCCAGTCTTCGGCCTCCAGGCGCCCTCACCGGGCCTCGGGGCCGTCAGATAAAGAATCAGGATAAAAACGGGACCACGAGAGGAGGTCCAGACCTCTGGGGGTCGACGTTGTAAAAGTTACGACGTCGGGGGTCTGGGCAAGGCCACCTCGGAAGCCCCGGTGCCCCTGCGAGAAGGCCCTCGCCGTCTAAGACCCCCCTGCCCCCTACTCGGCCCTCTTGGTGGCCGCGCCCCCCCCGTCGCGCCACCCCCGTGTGCGCGCCGCCAGGCTGGGCCCCTCCCCTCCCCCAGACCTCACGAATCGATCCCCTGGCCTCACCCGGGGTGCGCGGAGTTGGGCAGCAGCTTCGAGGCGGGCCCAGCCGTGGCAGCGACGAGTCACCCACGGCAGGGAGTCGACAGGGAAGCCGGCGCGACGGAGCGACTGTACCGGTCAATATTTGGGGCCGCAGCCCCATCCCCCGGGGGTCATGAGCGTTACCAGAAGTACAAAAAAAAGCAGCGTGTCCTGCAGCGCAGCCACCCCCCCACCTCTCTCCACTTCCTTGTGCGCGCCGCCAAGCTAAGTGCCTCCCCTCCCTCGGGACCTGTCCTGGGGCACGCGAATTAACTTCGAGGTGGATCCGGCCGTGATGGCGAAAACTATCCTGGAGATCACAGTACGAAAGCCTCGAACCTCGATCCTCGAGCCTCCTCCTCCCTCCCCTTGCCAGGAAGATGAAGTCCCCCCACCTGAAGGGAAGCTCCAAAGCCATGCGGCGGATCCAGCCGTGGCCGCGGAGAGTCCCCCCGAGGCCAGAAACGCTACGAAATCCTCGAACCTCGAAGCCGCCTCCCCCCCTTCTTAAGTTCGAGCCGTGGCCGCAGCCATCTTGCCATTGCGAGTGGGTGCCGGCGTCGCCATGTCTAAGGCGCAAGGCGGAAGCTTCTAGGCCTCCTAGATGGGGTCGCAGGATCGCGCCGCATCGCCGATGCGGCTCGATGTGGAGCCCGATGTTCTTCACGTCGACGTCGCCGATGCATTGCCGACGTCGACGATGCGTTGCCGGTGCATCGCCGATGCATCGCCAACGCATCGCCTATGCATCGGCGATCTGGCGCGAGCCCACGACCCCATCTACTCGGACCCCATCTAGCAGGCGCCTGGCCTCCTCCGCCTTGGCGGCCTGTGGTGCCAGCCTGGCAAGGAGCCGCACCGCCGCCTCTCCCAGTGTGGCAGGGTGCTCCGCCTCCACTCCCTTTGCCACGGCAACCGCCGCCGCCCGCACCACCCGCTGCTGATCGTCCAGTTGAAGGAACACGCTGCAGGAGGTCAGCCACCAGACATTTGCCTTTTCGTCCACCGCTTCCGTTTGATGTATGGAGCTTACGAATCCCCAGAGATGGACCTGCCGATTCGCTGCCAGTTCCGCCGCCGGCCGCCGCCAGGAAGCCTCGAATCCGAGGGTTCCACGGCCAATGACTCACGCGCAGAAGGACCACCTGTTGTGCATCGCCTCGATCGTTGGCATCGCTCGACGTCGAGCAAGTCCATCGGTGCCCACGACAGTAGCGATGTGATCGCCAGCGTCTTGTGGGCGGTGTGGCTCACTCGCACTGTTGAATGGGACGCCCCCTATCGACTCCAAAGGCCAACCCCCGCTCCCTTAGAGAGGTAGGTGCCAGGCGCCGTGCTCTGAATGATCTTACGGTTGGCAGCACAGACAGCAGGCTAGCGAGTTCTGACGATCAACTTTGACAGTACTTTCGGTCCCAGCCTTCCCCTGTGCCTGTCGCAATGTTTGATTGAGCCAATGTGGCAAAGGCGACCCGGGCCCTCTGGGTGAACCATCATTTGAAGCTCTTTCGGGAAATCTCCAGATTGTGTTTGGGCAGCCCCAGCATCTCGGGGAAATCTCTGGGTTCCAAAAATATGCAGGAAAACTTCTGGGATCTATTCGGGCCTCACATGTCTCGGGAGGAATCACCAGAACATTTCCGCGACGCAAGATTATACAGAACATTGCCGGATCCGGCAAATATTCTAGTAACTTCCGGCGCACATCGTCGGAACATTGCATGGCATTTGGATAACCTTTTGGGATGATTTCTCCGGATATTTTGTCGGAGCGACGATTGTTTAGAGATTCGGCAGAAGATAATTCAAGACGCGACGATGTGTTGGAGATTCGCCAGCTGATTTTTAAGGCGCAAAGATGTTTGGGAGATTCGCTGGCATATTTTTCGAGATTGGAGATTTGCGGGACTTCGCGAAGAGCTGTTGTGCAGATTCGAGGGCGGTCGTCTTCCTGCCACAATCGACCCAGTGTGACTCAATGGTCCGCCCCTTCTCGCGCTCCAGATCCCCCTCGGTCGCAGGGTAGAGCCAGCACTCGCGCCCACAGAGCAAGCACAGACGTGCCGGAGCAAGCTCGGATAGACGTGCAGGCAGTGCCGTCGAGCAGCCATCCCGAGGCCCAGCCCAGACGTTGTGCAAAGGAGCGGGCTGCTCCCCCGCCAGAGGAGCGCTGGTTCCCCGAGAGTCATCACGCCAACGCAAAGGCTCGCCTGGAGCTGTTCGTCGGAGACGTCAGCGCATGCCTCCAGGCCAGGCGTGCTGGAGCTTCGCGTGAGAACGCCGTGCAACCCGGCGCGGGGCCATGGCATGAGAGGCCTCCATGGGCAGAGCGTGATGCTTCCCAGGCCCCTGCTCTGCAACCACATCGGGGCGCGAGCGCAACCACAGCTCTGCAACCACGTGCAAATCGTGGAAGAAGAGGTCATGGCCCGTTTTGCAGGCAAATGGTGGTTGGCTCCACCGTCCCAAGTGCTCTCCCAGTCGGTTGCCAGCGCTCCACTTCTGCGGACGCATCACTCTCGATGGACGCTGGTGCTGTGCTAGGATGTGCAAAACAGGCCACGGTTCCAGTGCCGTGCCTGTTGCACTCATCCCGGATAGCTTGGTTCGAACGCAGACCTCAGGAGTCCCCTGATATCCCCCAGCGCTTGACAACAAAGCCAGCTAACTCCCTTGTTGATATGAGCAAGCCTGCCCATGCATGCTAGCCTCTACCTCTTGGCCCTCCCTTCTGCAGTTTGGATCTGGTGCGTTGCAGGCGTGTCCACGTTCTCTGCTTGTGATGGAAGGCGAACTAGGAAATCCAGCTGCGAACCGCGAAATTCGGCCCCGAACGGGGAAATTTGTTCAACCAAACGAGAGAATTGTCCTGGGGGGCGGGGAAATTTCTCCGTGGCCTCCCGGGAAGTTTCTCGGGTCGAGCGAAGATGCGTTTCCGGCTCAAGGAGGACATGGTCTCAGCCGACGGAGGATTGTTTTTTGGCGATGTGGCATGTTCTGCTTGATGGCTGCCCTAAAATTGACAGCCGCTGGAAATCACGGGCGGGTGCATTCGACTGCAGTTTCCGAATTTCGGGCAGGGGGTTGCTTCGGTTCGTCCTGGAACTTGCTGATGCGGTTGCGGGGCCGTTTCGCAGGCCAGTATATCAAGAGCGAAATTCGCGGTGCGCGTGAATCCTCCGGTGGGCATTCGCAGCCTCGGGGAGGATCGATGGAATGACGGAGGAGGAGGAGGAGGAAGGAGTGGAAGAGGGGAGGGAAGATGAACATTAGGGCGTGATTATGTTGGTTGCGTTGCCTCTGGATGCAGGAAAAGGACGAGGTGGAGGAAGATGATGAGGAGTACGAGAAGGAGGACGAGGGATGGAAAGAGCGAAGGCGGAAAAGGATGGATGTTGGAGGCGCCCTTGGTGGGTAAGGGGCATGAAGAGGGAGGAGGGCGCAGGAGG